TTGATATTATGCATTTCTTTATAACAGATACGACAGAACATTTGACTAGGATCTTCCTGAGGTCTATTGTGATGCATGTAATCTGAAAACTACACATTAAAATAGAATCAATTAGTTACAAAATGATCATAAATTGACTGCTGTAAATTCTTGAAAAATAAAGTTGAACACCTTTTTTAAAATCATACACTAGTGTGGAATTAATATAAATAAATATATTCAAGTTCTTCAATTATATTCAGACAAAAATTTTTGTTGCTATGGCAGTTAGAAAGAAGATAACTTACTTATCAAATCATGCATGTGTCTTTAATGTAAGCAATGAAAAGTAAAAATCTTTATAGTATTATTAAAAAAAAAAAAAAAAAAGGATTAATTTTAAATATTGTTTCCTGTTTTAATCATAGCTTTTAGGTATCATTTTAGGACATTAAAATCTACTTTATTAACTATTTGAATAAGGTATTTGTATGCATAAAAAGAGTAAGATAATTTATTAGGATTTTAAAATTCTCAAAATATAAAGTAATACAAACAACTTAATATTGTGATCTTTGTAAGTTACTGGCTGCACATCACTATATATGTAGTTATATCAATAAGTCTGGAGACTTGGGGGGGGGGGAATTTTTACCCAAATATTTTTTAATATAACCACCTTATTTGCCAAGGAACCTTAATTCAGTGGTGAATATTATAGATAGAATGGCTTGACTACTATTTATCAGACACACGGCTCTAGAGATGGATGAAGACTTGAATAAGCAATCGACTAAATGGAGGAATAAAGCTGACTGAGTAAAATAGTGATACAAATCTAATCACAATATTTTGATAACTACATTTCAGGCTTTATTTACATTCACCCACCATTAATTGTAATTAGGTTGAATATAATTGCTTACTGAAAGTGGATATAGCACAATAGGTGAGTTTGTTTTGTTTTACGGCATATCAACCTCAATGGGTTATTTAGTACTGACAAAATTTTTATTGCTGGTAATGTTTTTCTCCAAAAATCTATTTCTGGGAATATTTTTCCTTGAAGAAATCTATAGCTGGTCATATTTTTTACAAAAATTGTATAACTGTTTGTATTGCTGGTATTTTTTTTTTTTTTTTTAAAGTATTGCTGATAATTTTTCCTTCAAAAATTATTGCTGGTAATAATTTTTTTTTTTTTTATTACAAAGTATTTCTGGTATTAAAACCTATTTTTACACAAGTTTGGGTGTTAACTATTTGCCCATAGCTGGGACCCTAACAGGTGCTACCACACCCAGGCCAGGGTGAACCTGGGAACACCAGCAATTAAGAGGTAGTTCCACACTGCTAAAAACCTCCTGATCAGAGGCCTTGCTGTTGGATGTAGTTTATCGTACCCAGGATGAAATAATATGTGAGGTTTTGTTATTTAAATTATTAGTTGTTATTAGGTTCTCTTCTTAATTCTTTGCCACCTTAATAATCAGCACTGTACATGTGTTTAGCAGTTCCATTTAGTCAATTGTTTTATTCAAATTACCGTCTTTATCCAGGACCATGGGTCCGGTAAACAGTAATCAAGCTGATTGAATATTATAAAAGTTAAAATTTCAGCAAGGTCTTTATAGGTATAACAAAAAAAGTTTCATTACATTTGTATAATTAGTCAAAACTGTCTACACAGAATGAAATTGATTTTAAATTTACAGTTATGAAGATGTTTTATGTAGAAATAAGACTTCAATCTGAAATAAAACAAAATGCAATTCTCAATTCATTAAAGATACTATGGAACAGTAAGTGAGACACTTGAACAAATTCTTGTAAGAGATTCAACAATTCACTGATACAGCAAAAAAAAAATATGAAACTGACCAAAGTGAATATAAAACCAGAAACATTATTTACAATAGGATTCTGACTCAAACTTCAGTAAGTTGCCAAAATAGTTATACCATCTTCTAAATTAAAATAGCAAATACCAATCCAAAGATAAAAAAAAGAAAATCTCTTAAACTAAAAATCGCATTAACCAATCATTTTTTTCTCATTTCCTTTAAGTTTTTATTTCTTAATTTGCACTCATTAGAATCCTAAAGAACAATTCTAATATCGTCACATTAAAATAAACATTTTAGCTGCCATCAGACGCTATCAGTTAAGATATTAGAACTGATAAAGGAAGTCTAATGGTATGTTAATATTAGCCTTTTCTTTATAAGGAAACATTTAGCATTCATTGACCAAGTTGTTTGTACTACTGTCAGTTGAAATTTATCAAATCTTTCTCTTAAAACAATTTTTCAGGAAAATAGGTTCCTTAAGCCTACTAGCAGTTATCGCTCTTCCAGTATTTATGGGGGACTTCCTTCCTTACCTTTTGTTTGAAATAGTGTGGAATGTCAACATTTTGATTTGATTGTTATTTTCTCTGAGTTACATGTGATATCCATTTTAGCTGATGCTGTTGTTGAAAATCCTCATGTGATATGGTTTCTGTTATTTGGCATAGATCTTTGTGATTCCATAGTGCCAGTTCATTAGGTCTGAAGAAGGATCGTTCTCATTAAAACCTACAAGCTTCATTCACTCAAAACTATTTTTAATCATTGATCTGAGAAAGCAGTTGTATAATTTGAAGGCTAGAAGAAAATGATATTGTAGCCCAAAGGTTAAACAATCTTTTAACATGTTTAGGAGCAATTAAGAAAGTAAACCATATTTTTTAGCATAATTTTAATAAAAATGTTTTAGAACTTATAGTGTAACAAAACTAGGTATTTCATCAACAGTAAAAAAAAAAAAAAAAAAAAATATTTCTATTAAAAACAATTAGTGCATGCAATTCTTTGAAGCAAACATATTTTCTGATAAGTTATGTCCAATAGACTAATTGTTTTAAAAAATATATTTTTAGAAACCAAAGAAATGAAATTTACATGTATCTTGTTTTAGATTTCTATATAAAATTATTAAACACCAGATCTGAATTGCTCTATATAAATGCACAAGTAATATATAATGCACCTTATTTAAGACCAACTTTAATCTCTTTCAAAATTACAAGAAAATCCTAGAAAATATGAATTGATAAAAAAAATATTAAAAAGATTCAGAGAAAATTGTATTCCCTTCATTTATGAACCCTTGAAAAATGAGAATTTTTTTTTTTTTTCAAAATCAGTTAAAATGCAAAATGATTTAAGAATTTAATGACAATCTTTATATATGTTCTCAGTCAGATTTAATTTTAAAAGTGAAATATTTTTCTAAGATTCAAAAACAATAAAATAAAAGATATTTACAAAATATATTTTTAGAAAACTTACCATATATAAGAATAGTACTATTTTAAACAGTGTAGATTCAGGGTATTTTATAACCCTTATTATTTTGCAAATAATATAACTATAAAAGACAAAAATTATTAATTATGTGATAAGTTACCCATAATTATAGCACATAATTCATTTTTATAAATTATAGTATATTTCTCCATATCCAGGTATCAGATTGTAACATTATTTCAAATCAGAAAGTTGCTTGGAAAAAGCTTTCTTTTTCACTGAGTTCAATAATTTCTACAAATGGAACAATCAACATTTATGATCAGCATATATAAAGTTTTTATTAAGGGCAGGGACAATATTTGTTATTTTTTACCCTTTTCTGAAAACTTAATATTTTTTTTCAGTGATAAATTCATTAATAAAGTGTTCTGCTAAAATTAAGAAACAAAAAAAAAATTTAATTTTCACCTTTCACTTCTGAGGAAGTGAATACTTGTGAATTTTTTCTATTTACCAATTTATTTTCCTTCCCCAGGAATTAAAAACAAATACAGCACTAAAAAGCATTAGGCTAATACCCACAAAGATATATTTAAGAATTTATAAGAAAACAAAAAAAGAAAAAACTTTATGGTACAAATACAAAATTTTATACTGACTAAATATATAGTTTCATATACATGGTTAAATTCACCAATTTTTTATATATATATATATATATATATATATATATATATATATATAATGCTCGCAAACAAGTATAAAATGTGTAAATGTGGGAACCTCACTTTATTATTTACAGTTTTTAATTACAAGTGAGATTTGATATTCAGGCAATACAGAAATTGTATTGAATGCAATGAAATAATTGAAGAGAAAAATTGCAACACTTATTAAACCTAGATTTAAAATTAGCTAATGCCTCTCACAGGAAAAACAAGTAAAATATATAAATTTTACATATATATTTCCTGAAGTCATGAGTGTCAAAATCTTTCTTCAAACGGAAAATTTAAAAAAAGAATTGCTTTTAACAATCTCTCTTTCATGGATTTAAGCAGATCAGTAAGGCCACTTGGGAGAAAAAAAAAAAGTTGTCTTAATAAGGCAACTTAAAAAGAAATAAAATTTTTCTTAATTTTGAGAGATATCTTCATAATTGCCATTAAGAAGTCAGCCAATACAGTATAGTTTATTATTATTAATTAAAAAGAATGAATATTTGACAATTTTTATGTGAACAGCATTTTTTATTCTAAAAATTTTAGAGCTTATAAAGTTTTGTTTTTGACTAGTAAAAGTTTTAAATAAAAAATGTTACCCCACAAAAATGTATAAAAAAACAATTACTGTTAACACTTCATTTTTTTTTTTTTTTTACTGTGTATGCAATGAGAAAATAAATGTTGACTGTAGCAGATGAAACATCTAATCAAAAAGTAGGACAGCAGAACACTGTTCAATGCTGTTAATGAAAATTAGTGATTAAAATTGAATTCTATAACTAAAGGCTTCTACATTAAAATATTTAACTTAAGAAAAACAGCCAATATAAAAAAAATTGTGTGTAATTAAATGCAGCATAGAAGAGAAATTATTAACTGGAAATGACAATTTTTCTATAACATTGATCTTGTTTTTTGCCCATTAACTTAATAAATCTTATAAAGATGAATAAAACTGTCTTTAAACCAAATAAATAAAGAAATGTAAATTATGCAATTTTTAAACAAAATGAAAATTTCTGGGATCTCGTGGTTTACTTTCCATGTGTGGTCGAGTTTCCAACTTTTGAGTACTTGTCCAAGGCTGTGATACGAGAAGTTTTACATCAGCCTCTGGCTTGGCACTGCTAAGTAAAATGCCATTTTGAAGATTTTCATCATTCGGGAAATGTTCCAAAGTTTGGCTATGCAGCAAAAGGTTGGTATCCTTCCTAACTTTAGGTAGGATCATTTCTTTCTCTAATGCACGATTTTGATCATATTTAGCCTGTAAAAAAATAAAATTAAACAATCAGACATCAATACAGTAGCAGTTATAGAAATTGAATACAAAATTTTGGTCCTAAATAATTTCCTATTTTTAAACTTCAAATATTTATTTTGATTTATACTTTAATCCTGTTTTTATGGGTTTTTTTTTCTTCACCCTTTTCAGAATATTGTCTTTTTGGGGAGGTGGGGGTTACACATCTAATTGCAAATGGAGATGCAGGTGGTATAATGGATAGTGGCTCAGAACAAGAAATCTGAGATCTGAGTTCAAATTCCAATAATTCAATACAATAAGTTTTCATCCTATTCACTTTTATGCAAATACCTTTGGGAAGAGGTATGAATCCAGTTTTTTCTAACCTCATCTCTCATGAGTTAAATAACAGAACAGATTAGGTACCTCCACAGATGAAAAAAATACCCCGAACTTGATGAAAACTATGTTTTATTGTCAAAATCTTTCTTATTATTAAGAGAAAAAAGATGAAAGTGTTTTTTTAAATACTTAATTAAATTTTAATCCTTTTTAGAACATTTGAAATTTTGATTAAAAGTCTTTTCTTGTGTTAGCAAATAGACTATAAATTAGCACAGGAAATTTTAGAGTTTTTTTGAGGGGTGAAAAACATAATTTGGAAATTCTTGCAAAAAATCAAATTGTAGGATTTTAATGAAACTTTCAGAACTTATTCATAAATGAAATTATTTTAGAATTTTTTTTTTTTTTTACATGTCCACTTAATTTTATGAAAACTCAAGAAATTCAATGAAATAATTTTTAGTGACTACATTAGTTAAATTCTCCAAAGTGTTCTGCTTTTAAACCATTAGTATTTTTGTAAAATTGGAACCTGTCTTACTGAAAATCTGCTCTGAATTGTAAAATAAATTGCAATAAAACTAAGAAATTATTTAATTAAAAATGCTTTAATTGCTTTTATGAAAGACAATATTGTCTTAAGGAAAATTTCTTTTTCAATGAGAAATGACTTTTTACAATTTTAATTAGAACAATTTATAAAGTTTTTAAATCTCTTTTTCAATGAGAAATGACTTTTTACAATTTTAATTAGAACAATTTATAAAGTTTTTAAATCTCTTAAAATTTAGTTTCAATGGAGTAACTGTTAGTGAATATTGTTATTAAGTAAAACTATATTTACTAATCATATATTGTAAAGATTATTATAATCTGACAGCCCCAAGTATTTTTAAAATTGAATTTTGAACTGTTTTTGTATGTATACAAGTGTACTGATTTTTGTAGATATAGTTGCCCATACACAACATTATCAGAAAAGAGTGATAACTATAATGAATTCAATAAAACATTAGATTACAGAGAATATTTTTTTAAATTTTTGAAGAATACTGGATACTTAAAAGGTGCTTGTGTTATATTCAATTATTTTTTATGGGTAAAGATGCCATAGAACAATATTAGATAAAAATCTGTGTCTGTCACAGAGCTGTTAAAAAAATGTCAACATAAATAAACAGCTACCACAGTGTTGAAAAAATCTATTTCTACGATATTTTAAACTTAAAATAAATAATATCTGTTTCAAATCAGATTATGCTTTAAATCAACTAATATTTCTCAAATAAAGTTTCAGAAAAGTATATTTAATTTTTGGAAGATTTTTTAATATAAGGAGATTTACAGTTTTATAAGAGTTTTATAATACAGGGTGTGGCAGTAATACCTTCCAAATATTGCTATTAATGTTTTACCATTATGTAGGAGGTATTTCTGCCACACCATGTATATCCATGGAAATTGAAGTGCCCACTAATAGTTACCACAAAAATGTTTTCATTGATATACAACAATCAAATCAGACTTGAGAAATATTTGCTTTGCAATATCATTTTGTTCACAATACTAACAAGAAAACATTAACTATGGTTGGTTGATGCAATTGTAATATAGGATTCATGCCAGGAAATATCAGAGGTCTGAATCAAATTTAATGTCTCTCAGAAACTTTGATCTAAAAAAAGAGAGTTGATCTATGGTGACCTCAATATGTACCAAGTTCACCCTAAGACAGGATGTCATCAAATGGCATTGAACAACCTCTTAGGGGGGAGTGAGGAGTTTGATGATAGTCCAGGGATTAAATGGGGGTCAGTGTACAAATGACACTGAGCTAAATTTTAGTGTACATATATGTTGTATTTTCTGCTGATGAAAGCAAGACACTGATCTTGACAATCAACAGAATAAAAAGCCTTAGTTACATCTACCCAAGTAGATAAACTTAATTTGATGAGACCTATTCAATGCTATCAATGCTTGATCATTCTTGCTCTTTGGGGGGGGTGGCGGGGCGGATTCTGAACCTGATCCAATTTTTTTAATTTTTCATACATTTTCATTGCCATCATCAGTGTGAGTTTTAAGGTTCAAAGATATTTTAAATAAGGGTTGCCGGGGAAGGAATGAAACAAAAGGGGGTTTCTGGTCCAAAAAGTTTTATGACCCCTGCCTGAAGAGGTATCAAAGTATGTTTTGCACTTAGTGTTACCCCAGAATGTTAATTGACTTAGGATCCTGAAGGTTGACCTAGGTGACCTAAAAGTCAATTTGCAGAATTGGGCCTCAATGGATACAGGTGAGTACACTAGCATAAACAAGGAAGTGAACCCAGTTGAACTTATGATGTACCTACAGAAGACAATGGAATAAGTATAAACATCTGATCTATAAGGGGGACATAGAAAATCCTCCACATCTTTGCAAGAAGATTGGACATTTGAAGAAAGACCCAAAACCACACTCTCAATACAGCTGACATTAAATTTGACCGACTCCAGAAGTGAATAAACAATTATTTTATGTCTGATAAATTATAAGTCCCATCTACATATTAAAATGACTATACTTTTTAAAGGAAGTAATCTTTAGAATTAGTGAACAAAAAATAAATAATAAATAAAAACTGAGCAAATGTTCATCACTGGAGTTAAGACAAATGACACCTACAATTTATTATTGGATGACTTCATAATGCATAGTTTGCAATAGCCCACAATTGTTATCATTTAACTGAACCCAAACTTTCTTCAGTTGACAGGTAAACACAACTGAGAAAAGTGATGCAAACTGCTAAGGTGAGGGAATATATTAACTTCTGTATATAAAATTTGATAGTTGAACAAGGAAATGAAGTTACATACAAAAAAAAAAAAAAAAAAAAAAAGTCACTGGCAGGCAACTGATCTTGTCACGAGTCCTCTAATCCATTAGGGACATCACATATACTGCAGCTGTCTAGTGCTAAATAGGCTCCATCAGTCTATCATTCTTCAAGCTAAAGCATACCAAGTCTAAGAGGTTTTCAGCAGTCCTCTTAAAAGGGAATTGGCTTGATTTAGCGGCATATCAACCCCTATGGGTTATTTAATGCTGACATCTAAATATTTTGTATACAATTTTATGCCTTCAACTACAGATATTAAGTACATAATTTTATACTTTCAGGGTAAACATTTTTTTTTTTTAGATATATAGTTTGTATATTATCTATTGCAGTATAAACCTATTTCTTTAAAGTAGGACATTATGTTGTCAGTTTCAGTATTTTCAAACAGTTTGTCATGTTGATTTCTTGTATTTATGTTTTACAGGGGCTAAGTGAGTACATTCAGTTAAAATGTGTTTCACTGTGAGTACAATTTGGCATGTTGGTTGATCTTCATTCTACAGCAAGTATCTAAAAGGGAATTGGAAAACCAATGAGATTCATGCTTGCAACCGAAAAAGGAAAAGAAAAATAATAATTTGACCTGATTGCCAAGTCATAGTACTTCCATAAAGTAAGAAATATACAAATATTGACAAAGTTTTCAAGTGAAAATGAAAGAAGGGGGGGGGGCGAAACACAGTATAGACTTAGATATTGAACTCACCTTATTGTAGAAAAGAACTCCCAGAATTGCAATCAACATGCCTAAACAGTTGACTGGGGTGACAGGATTCTGCAACATGATTATGGATGCCGTGATGATGACGATTCTTTTCATGGCATTGGCCACTGCATAGCTTAGAGGAGTAACCAAAGCCAAAATTGTAAAAGCAATGAGATTCTGCAGAGTGTTGAAAAAACCATCTAACAATAACAGCAAAACTACAGTTGTCAGTTTTATATTTCCAGACTGAAATTAACAAAAAAAAAAAAAAAAAAAAAAAATAGTCATTAAACAATTTATATGCAGGACAGTGTTATATTATCAAAAAATTATAGAAATAGATATTTTGCTTATATGACAAAAATTAGGACATTTAGGGATCAAAAGAAAATAAAAGCAAGTTGATAATTGCAAGAAGTTACACTAAAAAGATGAGCAAAAATTCTGCAAATCAAGTAAAAATATTTCTTTTGGTTATATTTTCTCATTATTCCTTGCTTTACAGCAAGGAATAATGAGAAAAATTTGTTATCTTTATCTTTGTTGCTTTTTTTTTTTTATATATAAAACACACAAGAATATTTATAAAAATTTTATTTTACTATTTTACAGATGTTACCTTTTTATAGATATTTAATTCCCTAGATTGATTTGTTAATACACTTTTTTTTGAAAGAAGTGTATTTTTATGAAACCAGACAGTTTGTGTAAAAATTGTTATACTTTTATATCTTTTTCGGCTCCGTGATTAAAACCCGCCAAAATTTGTAAAGAATATATTTCCAGTTTATGGAAATTATTTTTTCAGATATACTGACCAACGAGAGACATGGTCTCAAGCTCTAGTAAGATCCTGAATAGTGTGGCTTATGTGAGCCTAATTTTCTTAATAAAGAGAGCACAAGTCAGTAAATGCAAGGAGAAGACCTTTTGAAAGCAAGGAGACAATGTAGGCCAGCATCAAAGAAGTCATTTGGCATAAAGAAAAGAACATCAAAGAAGGCACCGATTCAGCTGCAGAGAGACTAAAAAATTTTGAAATGAAAATTCTCCTGTGGTTGGACAGCCAAAAACGAAAAAAATTCTAAGAAATTTTGCCAAGCATGAACTGTGTGAAGCTAAAAGTGGACTTCTCAAAAATTAACGTATGTCCCAGAGAGAGTCAAGACTTTTTATTTTTTTTTCAAAAGGTTTTTGCAACTTTGTTTATTACTGCCTTTTTGAACCATTTTCTCTTTGTTATTTTCAAAATCCTTGACTTTTTCCAAACTGCAATTTTTTCCATTTTCCAATGGTCATCCTTTCAATCTAAAATTGTTATCCTGCCTTAATAGGTACACAATTTTTGTGCAAATTTTGTATTTGTACCTTTTTCGTAATCGTGTAAATAAATGTATATTTATACAGTGGTTGTTTTGTTTCGTAATTTTGCGCCTATTACAACTTCTTGTTCCTAGTAAGAAAGTTTTTGTGTTTGACACAAGAACTTAAATTTGGTAGTGAATAAAATTTTTATATATTAACCAATTCTAAAGACCAGATTCACTTGAGAAGGTTAAAGAATATATTAATTGAAATGTGTTTAAATCATATCCTCTTGGTGTCAGCTAAAACTGACACTCCCTGCCTCCATATATTGGGATCAATTTGCTTAAAGGTCATATTTCCTTGATTTGAGATGAAATTCTAATATTTCAACATATTTTAATTAAATTTACATTTTGCAGAATTGATTTATATATATATATATATATATATATATATATATATATATATGCACACACACAAAGAAGCTTTGTAGATAGGAGTTTAATAAAGAAATAGCCTGAAAATAGCTTTTGTGAGATTCTGAATTAAAAGAACATATAATATATTTAAATAAGGTGAGCTATGAATCATTTAAACAGAATAAAATTATTCTTAAGTTCTTTGCTTATTATTTTATTGTAATTCCATAAAAAAAAACAAAAAAAAACAAAAAAAAACACAACAACAACAACAAAAACAACATAGAAAATCTGAAAACTGGATTCAAGTTATGTTCACATTTGGTAAAAGGGGATGAACTATTCTTCTTATACGCAATTGCCCAGAGTTCATATGCATTTTTGAACTTCAAACAAGATTCAACTTAAAAAAAAAAAAAAAAAAAATCTCATGATCATAGAGAGAGATGCCAGGATGTGAGATAATCAGTGAGGATAAGAGAGATGGCTGGTGAAAAGAAGAAAGATGAAAATAAATAAAGCAGAAACATTGTACATTGTCTGGTTATATTAGAATTCTAGTTCTACACTGTAATTTTCTTTATAAAATGGTTAACACTCACAATGGCATCAATGTTTGTAACTATTCTTCTCAGATCATATAAAAACCAAACTGGAAAGAAGCAAAGAGCTGCCCACTGTGCAAGCATCACCAACAGGCACATGTGATGAACACCAGTATCTTTTAAACACTGCAAATAAATAACAGAAATTCATGCAAACTAATCAAAGTGAGATTAACATTTAAAAGAAAAAAAAAAAAAAAGAAACAATTCTTTACAGTGGCAGGCCAGTCATGAATTATTTTTTTTTTTTTACAATAATGTTCTCTATGTTTGCCAAAGAGACACTCAAGGTAGGGGCTTACAGAGTGAGAAGTAAGAGACACAATTTATGATGATATATGGATAAGACTAGTTTAAAAGCTGCCCTATTGTGCAGTATTTAAGCTAGTTCCTGTGGAGAGCTCTTGAATGGACCATCATCACAATAGGTATGGAGGAGTAGATGTGATAGGCAACAATAAACTACAGAAGAACTCAAAATTGATCACTGCATTTAAGAATTGCATTAATATGTAAGCTTACCTTTTAATAGTTCAATAATAATTCTGCCGCCACTTAATTTAAAGACAATTTGATGTCTGTGGGTCCTTACTTTCCATACAAATAATTATTTTATTTCATGGGTGACTTTTACTGGATTTCACAATTAATTTGAATTATTCCCAAATTTATTTCCAAGTTATAAAAATTAAACTTGGAAATCCCAGCCTGGAATGTTTTAATTTGCTCACAGAGTCAGCCTGATTCCAAAATGATATAGTTGAAAAAGTGTGATACAGTGACACACTGACATTCGCAATTATTATATAGATAATGGCTGACCCAAGACTTGAACAATTCAAGATTGTAGTGATTGGAAGAAGCATTGTCTTAGGAGTCAGTTCACAAAGTAGCGATTCATGGGAAAAAGCTGTTAGAGTGGAAATTACATCTCACCAATGGAATATGAAAGGAATGGTCTGCTACAGAGTGCATGGCATGTTGGGTCTTAACTGTGAAGGTTACAACTGTTGGAACTAAAGAATGTTGTTTGTATCAAGCCCAACACCCACCAAAAAAACAAAGTAGACTCCTTGTGTACCATCTCCTACACCAATGCGAGGGGTCTATGTTCCAACTTTCCAAAAGTGGAATATCATCTTCTCCAATCCAAGCCAGACCTCCTACTTTCTGATATCAATATCTCATGTAGACTCAAGGAGTCCTCAGTTCCAGACTACTCACTTCTCATAGCAAAACATGACCACCTAAATCGTTATGTGCATAGAATCTGAGTCTACATCAAGGATGAGTTTCCCTGGAGCAGGGACACAAAAAATGAGGAACTCGACCTGTATATGTGTTTCCGCATGGCACTTATCCATAGTACCACATTCGTCTTTGCTGTCCTCGGGATGAATCTGTGACCAAATATCTGAGAAGATTGATATCCTCACTCAATTCCCCTTGGCTAGCTTTCCTATCAGTGGTGGCTTCAATATTCACCATAAAGAGTGGCTAGTCCATTTCAACAAAACTGATGTTGAAGGATTGCCTATGAACTAACACAGCTTGTCAGAGAACCTATCCAGGTCCTGGACATGACAGTAGTAAGTAGTTGACCCCACATGCTATCGTCTCCCTTTACAAGATCAGGCCAAAAATGGCGTACTGTTGTCATATTTGGGCAGGAGCTGAGCAGACCTCACTCTCCAGCCTTGATAGAGTTCAAAAGCGTTTCCAAGCCCTTGTGGGGGACAAAATATTCTCCACCCTTCAACCTCTCTCCTACAGGTGGGATATGGCAAGCCTCTCACTGCTCTACTGTTACTTCCACAGAAAATGCCCAGACAATCTACATTCCTTTGTCCCGTCAAGGCAAACCTTCATGACAAGAACACACAATACCACTTACATAGTAGCAAACCATCCACATTCCCTCTGTATCCCAGTATTGAGAAGTAAATTCCACTTAAACATCTTCTTCCTGATCACTACAATGTTAACCTGTTTAAGTCTAAGGTTAACAGTTATCTTCCACTCCTATACACACAAATATCCTACAAATGTAACCATCTACCTAGAGTGGCCCCAGGGCCTTGTAAAAAAAAAAAAAAAAAAATTATCTGAAGACATTCCATGGAAACATGTAACGTTTTATAATTTATGAAATTCACTTTCCACAATTTAAAAGAAAGCATTTTCCAGCATTTTTTTTTTTTTTTAAAAAACAAAAATTCACAAAATTTTTGTTTGACAATGAAGACGTTTATTTGATAAGGCTGAAAAGCTGTTGTAGCTCCTTCATGAGAATTTCAAAGTGACTTTGGAAAGCAAACAAATTTTCAGTCAAATTTCTGGATAATAAATAATCTAAGGTTTTCTTTACAAAATAGAAAAGCATTCTTAAGATGTTAACCTATAATTTAATACCTACTCTAAAATCCTGTATTATAAAAATTACAATAATAATTCAGTATTAATTTTAAGTTTATAATGTTGATAAATTTGGTTTTTTTAACAGTTTATCAACCTTTTGTGGGTTATTTAATGCTGAATCAAATTTGGGATTGTAGTAGTTTGCTTATGTTACCTGGTTATCCCACAAGTACTGAGCAAGCTTGACATTAAGTGAATAATGGCTATTCTATAAGGTATTAAATGAAGATTGTACAAATACTTTTTTAACCTATTAAAATGGATAAATGGGATTTATTTCTATTAATTTTTTTTTGTTTTCTATGCATATTTAGTTATTATACATCTGTGTACAGTTAGTTATGAAAATTATGTTGATTCATTAATTGGAAATACAATAAATTAAAAATTTGTATGTGTACGAATATTTGTTTCCCCCCCCCACACACACACATACGCTGTAAATGTGTGCGTGTGTGTGTGTGTGTGCGCGCGTGTGTTATGGTCATTGGTGTTCAGATCAGTTAAGTACAATATCTCCATTGTGTGTTTCTTTGAAAAGTACACAAAGATTCAGTTTAAGAATGCAATCTCAATCTTTGTATTGAAAAATAACAAAACACAAAATTCCTATTACCATGATTATTAATAGAGTATTGGGTGATACAATAAAGAGAATTCTTAATTAGGATAATTCATTATTTACAAACATTTCAGCATGAAATTTTAAGACACTCCTTCAAAACTAAAACAGAATTGTATATTTAAAAAAAAAGAAAAAAGAAAAAAAAATTATTTTACTGTCTGAAATTTTAGGATGAGAAGTTATCTTTATTTACACTATTTATATTCAGACTATTTTTGTTATCACGTTTCGGCAGTTGGGCCCTCCTCAGGTGTATATCAATCTGGGTGAGCTATAGGGAATTCTGAATTTAACCCTTTATTTAATCTATGTGGATAGACTGTTCTCATTCTACTGCTCATGTCTAGGGAAATTGTCCAGTTCTTATTTTTATTTAGTACTGCTCAGTTATTGCTTGCCTGTTTCCACTGCCCATCTCCATTTTCTTGCTCAACACTTCTGCTTCTGGCCTCATGTTGACTTCCAGCTCAGTGTCAGCTGATCCCGAGCATGCTTAATTCTCTCAAAGCCTTCATGATGAGGATTGACAGATGTTCAGACTGTTTATTTAGCTCATCAGAACTAAGTGTTTTTATGTGACAATTGAAGAGGGAAAGGTCTCCAATTCATGTTTTGTCAGGTGAGAGTTCAGGTAATCGAAAAGAGGGAGAAATGTTTCCACCTTGAACTTTTACAGTTTTCTCTTCATCTGATCCCTTATATACATTAACACATATTTTGCTTTTGTTCCTGTTTCTTCACATTGCAATAATCCGAGTATGGACCCATCCCTAATTCTGGCATTCAGTTCATATTCACTAAATTTGTCTCTAATTTCCCAAGGATAGATAGATCTCTAGAAACTCAGGACTTATGGAAACAAGAATTTCCATACTTTTTGATTTCAGGACCTTCTTTTACTCATTCTTTAGAGGATGTCATAGAGTGTCCATTTTCTCAGTCAATCCTTCTACCTTTTGTCTTGGGCTTACTTTTTTGTCAGTGTCAGACACTTCAATAAGTCCATCACAAATAACTCAGAGATACAATACAATAGGTTGCCTATAAAAATCATTATTACAGTGAAATAGAATAGTTTTGTGACAAGTTGGCAAATTTTTAACATTTTATCTATTGAGAGAGGTTTAATTTATCATTGTACTAGATTTAAAAAAAAAAAAAAAAAAAAAAGAAAAAAAAAAGAGAGAGAAGAGAAAAAAAGAGAGAGAGGGAGAGAAGAGAGAGAGGAGAGAAAGAGAGAGAGAAAAGAGAGAGAGAGAAAAGAGAGAGAGAGAAAAGAGAGAGAGAGAAAAGAGAGAGAGAGAAAAAAAGAAAGAAATTCAAGCATTTGCTGACAGGAATGTTGGTATAAAGGGATTTGACAAGATCTGAAAGTGTTACAAAAGGGTGAATGAAATTCCATCTTTGATCTTAAATATCCTCTTAGAGCAATAAGACTTTAAATTTTATTGGGTGGGTGCAGTGACCAAGGTATAAAAGGTTAAAATCAAATAAATTAAAAAAAAAAGGGGGGCTAAATATATTTGCAGGTACTAGGGGTTGTAGGAGTAATAAAACTAAAAGTTTATTAATTTGCAGGCATTTCCATCAAGAGATGGAGTAATTATCTACTCAACAAAGAAGTTTATCCCAAATAATATGGCAGCATGAGTTTCCTGGAATCCTGGCGACTGACTAGTGCAATAAATACCTTAAGACTTCCTTGACTGTAGTTTACCAATATTACTCTTCGTTTATTTCCTTTTAATAGCATAAAAATAACACATTATTTTATCAGTGTTGTTGAAGAAAGAAAATGTCAATATTTTAGTTACTGATATTTTCTAAGTACAATGCAGTTACAGAATTACTTGTCATTTAAGTAAAAGTTAAAAATAGAAAATTTGGCTTGATTACTGTTTACCAGGCACATGGTCCTGGAGGAAAACAACTTTAATAAAAAAAAGTTGACTAAATGGAATTGATAAACACAGTGCTGATAATTACAATAGCAAAGAATAAATTCAAAGAAAAGCTAAGAATAAAAAGTAATGGTTTAAACAAGATCGGCCGGCCTATTACTGCACCAGATTCCCCATCAAAA